GGAGGGCTGATTTGGTGAGCTGAAGAACTCAGAATCTCAGGGGTAGAAAACAGTCAGTAAAGCAGGTGTGGGGGCAAGTATATGTGCGTGTGGTGTGCCTGGGGGTGGGGAACGCGTGCGGGTGGGTGTGTACGTGTGTGAGCTGGGGCAGGTGTGCGTGGGGCTGTGTGAGGCCCCCAGGCCGCCTCGTCCCTCTGCCCGGTCTCCGACCCCCGGGGGTCTGCCCAGCCTGCACATTGTCACCTCTGCCCCCCCGACGCGGGCCCCGTCACTCACCCTCGTGGTCTCGGCCCGGCTCTGAGAGACCCCGGCGGAAGCTGGGATGCTGGGGCACGTGGGGTGTGGCAGGTGGCCACTCCCGGCACAGGTCCCAAGGACCTCCTGGTGCTGCGGGTGCGGGGGGAGGGGTCGTCCCAGACCCAAGCCCGCAGGAGGGACCTGAGTCCTAGAAGACACGCCGCCCCTCTGCGGCCACACAAAGCCTCACCCTTACAGTGCAAACGGACCCCTCACGCCCCAGGGACCCTGTGTCAACGCTACAGCAACAGTTGGTGAAGAGTGGGGCCTGGAAGTCTCGGACCGGACACACGGACGCACGCGGTGAACCCCTAAGTGTCCCAGGAGCTCAGCGTCTCTTTGCCTGAAGAAGCGGTCACGGAGGCCCCAGAGAGGGTCCCCTGCGGAGCCTGCTGGTCCTCACAGGTGCACGACCCCCCCACCCCCCCCCACCCCCCCGCTCTAGCCGCTCGGCAGACTCGATGGACGTGAGGTCCCGGTGGGACGTGAGAAGGGCGGCTCACCAGAGCAATCGCCCGGGTTTGCTGAGTCAGATGCACAGGAGCGGGGACACATCTGTGTGGAGTGGGCGCCAGGGTGTGGGGCCGGTGCGGAAGGAGCAGGAAGCCCCACGCAGACGTGCACGTGGCTCCCTGGGCAGAGCCTGCCCACCGCACGCGTGGCAGCCTGTGGGTCTGGCCGCGCTTGCCCGGCGGACGGGGACCGGGCACAAGGGTCGCCGCCAGAACCCTCTGGAAATGCGGGCTCCGTGGCACGCTGTGCGGGAAGGTGCCCACGGGCGCAGAGAGACTGGAACGTTCCTGCGGGAGCGACTTTGCCGGACCCGGAGCCCCAGGGGACGCCCTTCTCGGCACCCTTTTGGGACATAAATTCCCATCGGGCTCTTCTCTGTGGCCGCGCTCGGTCGGAACGGTGGCCGTCCAGCCGGGCTTCCAGAGTTCAACGGGGGCAGGGATTCCGAGTGACGCTTAGTCCCCAGAGACAACGCGATAGTGATCGCCGCAGAGGTAGCAGGGCCAGGGCGCAGTCGGAGCCGTGCGAGTGCTGGGCTCTTCCTCCAGCGGGCGAGGAGCCCGGGTCAGCCGAGGGCAAAGAGGCGCGGGCTGGTGGCGGGTGCACAGTAGTTGTGACCGTGTGGCCACGTGGCCGGTTGCAGGAAAGAGCGCCGCGGCCATTCCGTTGTGATTCGTGTGCGTTTTCGCGTGCCTGTCAGCCCGTTTGCTTGCTCTCCCCTCCTCCTGGTCCCGCCCCATCTGCCATCCTCCGAGCCAGCGGTGGCCCCCCTTCCGTGTCGGTTACAGGGTGGCTGAGACACAAGAAGGGATGCGCCGCCCGTGGGGTCCAGGGCAGCACGTGTCCAGGGTGGGCTGTCGGCCGAATGACGTCAGGCCCGTCTTGCTCCTGGCTTTCCCCGGAAGCGAAGCGCTCCGTGGCGAGTTTGCACCGGTGGGTGCGTGCTGCGCACGGCCGCCCCTGGACCCAGAACTCCTTTCCCTGCGTACTTCCGAGTCCGTGTGGCCCCGGGGACATTTTGCCCGCGATTCAGAGGACACACGAAGCTGCGGCAGCCACGTTCTTCTTAGTGTGAAGGACCAAGCTGTGAGGTCTAGTGCCGTCACCTTCCACCCCTGGGTCGGAGCTAACGGCACCAGTGGTGACACGGGTCACCAGCTGACGGCGCGCTGTGAGACAGGGCGCCGCCTCCCTGGCGCTCCTGACCAGAGACGCGCAGCATCTCATCGCGATGGACCCCGGGCAAGGCGGAGCTGAGGGACTTTCTGCAAAAGAACCGACCTCCAGTCTCCAAAAGGTCATAAAGGTCAAGGAAAGACTGAAGAGTGTCCTGGAGTGAGGGAGACAAGGGGGATGAGCCAGCCCCAACAACGGTGACCTTGGATCGGGCCCTTTCACTACCCAGAACTGAAATGGGGCGTTTCCGGCCGGCCAGGAGAGTTAGGTTCTGGGGATGCACTGAGTTGGGGGGACAGGGGGGCAATGGGGAGCAGTCTTCCCGCGCTGGGGCGCTTGGCGGCAGGGGCTTGGGCCACGTGTTGCCACCACAAGCACAGAAGCAGCTGGACACGAGGAAGCCTGGGGAGCCGATCGGTCTGTTTATGACCCCAGTTGTGGTGATGAGTTCGCGGGGCTGGGCCCCAGCTGCTTTCACTGTACGTTAAATCTGTGCAGTTTAGTATTGCTAAAAAGGAAACCGCGGGGCCCCAAATATAGTCACTCACGTCAGGGACCCGTTAGCCAGTCATCCGGGGAATGCCCTGGTCAGCACCAGGACATGTACTGAGGGACCCCTTCTGTTCCCCTTAGGAGGGCCACTTGGCCTAAAACAATGCATTCTTTGCTACTAATTTCCTTTTTTCCATTCCCTCTCTTCCTTCAAAACCCTTCCTTTTCTGCAGCTCAACGGAGTTCCTCTATGCTTGGGGATGAGATGATGCCTAATCCACGAACTGATTAATAAAGTCAGATGTTCAATACCTGCTCAGTTGAATTTCTGATTATCTATCGACTATACCTCAATGAAGCCGTTCTTTACAACAAGAACGTCACTGGGACAATTTTTAAGACCTGAAAGGGAGCTGAGGACACATGGTGGGGACATGTGGTGTTAGTCCCTTGGCTGGTGTGTGTGTGTGTGTGTGTGTGTGTGTAGGATAATGTCCATTTGAAGGAAACAGACACTAAGCTACTTGCGGGCGATGGGGTGCTAGTTTTGCAAACTACTCTCAAAATGGTTCAGAGAAAACGGTTGTACTATCCTTGCAATCCTGAATGATTTCAGAATAAAAATGATCCGTAGCACTTGAATGTGTCTGGAATGTCCTGGTGGCCTTGGTGGAGTGGGGCGGGTGCTGCCGGGTGTTCTGATTCGGGGTGTGGGTTGAGGGATGTAGGGAGACAATTTTAAGCTGTGGGTGTTTGGGAGAACACTCCCCAGAGGGACCTCTGCGAGCAGATCAGGCAAAGGGTGGGCAGGGGGCTGGGGACTGTCCCCCAGGCCACGTGGAAGCCGTCCCCCAGGGCTCAGAGGGGGGCGGAAGCAGGTGTGCTCTCTCTTGGGGATCTCAGAGACCTGCGGGCGGATCCCGCAGATGAGAGCTCAGCCCCGCGCTGCATAAAGGCGCTTCGCAGGCACCTGGCTAATGTGCTCTCTGGAGCCTCACTCGCACACAGGACCGGCTCCTTGTCCCACCCCCACAGCTGGCACCTTGAGTCCCTCTTGGGAACAAATGTCCAACAGGTGTCTGGGAAGAAAGCCAGACTGCACGAGTTACCTGTGTCAGGGCAAGGAGTCCCTCCATCTCACTCGCCGATGATTCGCAAGCCAAGGTCGCGCCCAGAGGGCAAGCCCGGCTGGGTCTGCAGGACTGAGGGGGTCTCCGAGAGGCAGGATGGGCTTTAGGACGGGAGCCTGTCTTCCTGGGGCGCTGGCCAGGTCTGAGTGAGGGAGAGACGGTGGGGCACACCTCTGGATCGGGAGGGCCTGGTAGACCTGTCACGTGCCCTGCCCTGACCCCCGAACCTGTGGACAGCGGCATGGGTCCCGTGAGGCCCGGGACCCGGGACCCGGGACCGGAAGGTGCTCAGGACAGGCCTGGGGCTTGCTGCCAGAAGTGCAATCGCCATCAGAAGCCACAGGTAGCAGTGGCACAGAGGAGAAGCCCAGTGAGGCCTCTGGTGCCCGGAAGCCCAGTGAGGCCTCTGGTGCCTGGAAGAGTCCGCCGATTTGTGCCAAGGCGAAGTTTCAGAGAGGGGGGAGGGAGCCAAAACAGGACAGCCGGGAGGGAGAACCGCCCCCTCCCCGAGCCACACCTGAGAGGGAATGAGGCCGGCAGGGTGGCCCCACCTGTGGATAGGATTGGGCTCTGGGCTTGGAAGCCAGGGGGCGGGTGTCCTAGGCCGGCCAGTGAGGAAGGCTCTGGAGGCCACAGACTAGGGCCGTGGTGGAGTCGGGGTCAGCAGGGCAGGAGAACGGCCTCAAACCCAGTATGCCTGGGCTATAATCCAGGGGCTCCTGCTCGAGGCTTGCAGGGGCCAGCTCCAGGCCATCCGTCCCCACCATCCAAGAAGGGCCACGTTCCTACTCCGCGGTTAATTTTTTTTCTGCTTGTTTTTGTTGTTGTTAATTTTTTTAATCTTTATTTTTATTTTTGAGAGAGAGACAGACAGACAGAGCGTGAGTGGGGGAAGGGCAGAGAGAGGGAGACACAGAATCGGAAGCAGGCTCCAGGCTCCGAGGTGTCAGCCCAGAGCCCGACGCGGGGCTCGAACTCATGAACTGCGAGATCGTGACCTGAGCCGGAGTCGACGCTTAAGTGACTGAGCCATCCAGGCGCCCCTATTTTTCTTTTCTGTTTTTTTTTTTTTTTTTAATATTTATTTATTTGGAGAGAAAGTGCAAGTCGGGGAGAGGGGCAGAGGGAGGGGGAGAGAATCCCACACAGGCTCCAAGCTCAGCATGGAATCTGATGCACGATCGCAACCTGAGCCGGTCTCAAGAGTCAGACACTTCGACTGAGCCACCCACAAGCCCCTTTATTTCCTTTTCCAAGCCTCATGGTGCAGCGTTTGACCAGCACCTTTGGGTTGTGCTGGGGAGGGCAGAAGATTCCTGTAAACAAAGATGTAGAGACTGCAGTGATGCTCCGCCCCTGCCCTGTGCCTCCAGCCCCCTCCCTCCTCCACAGCACCCCAACGGCCTGCCCCAGGCCTTTAAAACCTCCTTGCCCTCCTCTGCTGCTGCACACAGGCTCAGAGTCGGCACCATGCAACTGAATTTCAGAGGCCTGCCGGCCCTGGTGACGGGGGCAGGGAAAGGTACGTATGAGCAGGTGGGGGTGCGGGAGGGGCCGAGGTGGAGAGTAAGGTGGCCAGACTTGAAGCCTCACAGGCCTGTGCTGGGGTCTGTGAGTCCCTCCAGGCCTGTCACAGCCCTCCCCGCCAGTGCCTGCCTCCCTACCACACCCCGGCCCCGGGTGACGTCCACCACCCAGCAGGCCGCCCTGGGACAGGACACTGCCTCTACTTGGTCAGTACAAGACCCCCCACCCGAGACAGTGGCCTTCAGGCTCAGGCTACGCAGACGGGGACATCCAGACAGGGTCTCTTCCCTGGGCTCAGTGGAAAGGAGCTGTTCTCTGGGGCCTCCCTTGGCCAGCCTCTGACTCTGGCTGGCACCCCCTCACTGCTCTTTCCTGAGAGGAAGAGGCTGCAGCCTCAGTCCTCAGCCTTGACCCAGATGTACTGGGGTATCTGCCCACCCGGTGCCCCCCTGCAGGGATCGGGAGGGACACTGCGAAGGCCCTGCATGCCCTGGGAGCCAAAGTGGTAGCCGTGAGCCGCACCGACGCTGACCTAGTCAGCCTCTCCAAGGAGGTGAGCAGCCCGGTCACGGCCCAAGCCTGACCCCACACGCTCCGGGTGCCTCATGAGCCTGCTGGGACCACCTCCTTGATCACTGACCACTGCCTCTCCGCAGTGTCCCGGGATACAGACTGTGTGTGTGGACCTGGGTGACTGGGACGCCACGGAGCGGGCACTGGGCAACGTGGGCCCCGTGGACCTGCTGGTGAACAACGCTGCCGTGGCGCCACTGCAGCCCTTCCTGGAGGTCACCAAGGAGGTCTTCGACAGGTGGGGAGTAGGAGAGCAGGTGGACTGGGGAGTGGTTGCTGAGGACATGGGGCCGATGTGGCCTCGGACACTCTGACTGTCTGCCCTCTGCAGGACCTTCAATGTGAACCTGCGCTCACTGGTGCAGGTGTCCCAGGTGAGCCAGTGGGGGAGCAAGGCCCAAGGATGACAAGGCCCGGCCGGGAATACGGTGAGATCAGGCTGCCCCTCTCCTGGTTTCTAGATCGTGGCCCGGGGAATGATCCACCGCGGAGTGCCTGGCTCCATTGTCCATGTCTCCAGCATGGTGGCCCATGTCACTTTACCCAACCTATCTGTCTACAGTAAGTCCCTCTACCCAGCCCGTACCCCATCCATCCATGAGGAGATCCTGGGCGCTGGGGCTTAGCGTCTGTGCAGAGAGGGCTAAGGGGTCCTCAGTGCTGCCCTCCCTCCACAGGCTCCACCAAGGGCGCAATAAGTGTATTCACCAGAGCCATGGCCGCAGAGCTGGGGCCATACAAGGTGGGCATGGGAGGGGAGGACCTGGGGATCACACAAAGGTGGGCTGGGGAGCAGGGGTAGGGGCTGGCAATGGTAAGGGGCGGCAGACGGCATGGGAGAGGCCCGAGGACCATCCAAGGCTCTGGGCAGCGACTGACTGAACACAGTAAGCGAGTTCCGCAGGTGGTGGGGGGGGAGCACAGAGGCTCATCTATTCGCTGAGGCCGCCGTCTTCGGCCCCTTGGCCCTAGATCCGGGTAAACTCCGTGAACCCCACGGTGGTGCTGACGGCCATGGGCCAGAAAGTCTTGACGGACCCCGAGATCGCCCGGAAACTGAAGGAGCGTCACCCCCTGCAGAAGTTTGCAGGTCAGCGGGGCTTCGGGGAGCGGAGGGCGCGACCAGGGCGGCCGGGACACACCGCGCTGATCCCGCCGATCCCCGCAGAGACGGAGGACGTGGTCAGCAGCATCCTCTTCCTGCTCAGCGACCACAGCGCCTCCACCAGCGGCTCGGGCATACTCGTGGACGCCGGGTACCTGGCTTCCTAGAGCGCCCGGCGCGGGGGAGCCGGCGCTCAGGGCACCAGGCCCGCCCCCCGCCCGCCCACGCCCCGCCACGCCCACCGCCCCGCCACGCCCCGGTCACGCCCACCGCCCCACCACGCCTTCACCACCCAGCCGCTCGCGCGCGCATCTCCCACCCAGACTCTGCATCTGGGCAGACACCGCATCCACACTCGCGCTGCCATGTAACCCGCCCCTGTCGCCCCCACCCAGTGTCCTCCGCTGTGCCGGCTGGATTTCCCTAAATAAATGGAGGCCATTCTCTGGAACCAGTGCGTGCCGGGGTTTGGGAGGGGAGGATCAGGGAGGGGGAGCACACATTTCACTTGCCTTGAAATGAGGGCGCAGATCCTAAAGCCAGCCGGACTCTACGGCGACCCTGTCTTGTAGCTGAAGGGCAGCGATTTCTTACACAGAGATTTTTGTCGTGCCCCGCCCCCTCCCCCAGCCCCCCAATCAGCCCTGGGCAGAGGGCAGCCACGTTCCCTCCCCTTGAGGCTCTGGCCCCGCCCTTCAGCCCAGCACTGCTGCTCCGACCTCCGCCAGTCAGAGAGGTTAGAGGGTCTGGGATCTGGGGAAGATGCCATGTACCCACGGGCTCACATCTATCTGTAAATGACCCTAAAGGCTCAGGAAGCAATGCTTGTTGCCCTTGCCGGCCACCGTGAACCCCGGATGACCCCGATCCTATGCAAGTTTTTTTTTTTTTTTTTTTTTTTTTTTTTTTTTTACAGTGCTGGTGGTCTCCTGCTAAAGGGCCTGGATGATAGGGGTTCCTCTCCCTTCCAGTGTAGCAAGATTCTCACACACAGAGTCGTGACACCGCACCCAGGCTTTTCTTTCCAGGAAGCAACTTTATTTGTGCCGCATCGCTCAGTTGGGTTCCTACCCAAAGAATTGAGCCCCGAATGCCACGTGGTGTTTTTGTTTTTAATGTATTTTCTACTTCTTTTTTTTTTTTTAATTTTTTTTTCCAACGTTTTTATTTATTTTTGGGACAGAGAGAGACAGAGCATGAACGGGGGAGGGGCAGAGAGAGAGGGAGACACAGAATCGGAAACAGGCTCCAGGCTCTGAGCCATCAGCCCAGAGCCCGACGCGGGGCTCGAACTCACGGACCGCGAGATCGTGACCTGGCTGAAGTGGGACGCTTAACCGACTGCGCTGCCCAGGCGCCCCATGTATTTTCTACTTCTTTGTCTCCCATATATGGAAACACACACAAACATGCGGTCTGATTAAGTGGTCTCCTGTTATAGGGTCGTGAGCAATGTTGTCATGTATGCTCATAGCCAGGTTACCTTGAGGGTTTTTTTGTTTGTTTTCCTTAGGGAGGGAACCCTACCGCATTCCCCTCTTTGATGCTTGGACCCCTCTATTTTGGGTTAAAGAGCACCATCTTGGTTTAAAGGCTTGTATCTCTATAGCATCATTTCATGTATGGCTGTCCTCTTTTTTTTTTTTTTTAAATCATGGCCTCAGTGAGACTGGAAGCAGACCGTACAACCAAGGGAGCCAAGCACCGTAGGATTAAGCAACCTCCCAGAATCAGGAGGATAATTTTTATGAGAGTTTTGAATCCCCTGAAAGTTAGTTTCCAAATAACTCTCCGGGGTTTTAACCACTCCAGGTCTGGACAGGGACATGAGTAATCCTTTTGATTTGATCTGTGATCTTTTCTATGACTTTTTCCTCATTATCTATAGGCAGCGGTTGCTGAGGCTAAACTTTTTACACACTTCTTCCTCAGAAGCAAGCAGGTGATCTGAGGCCCAGCGATTTTGATAGATAGCACTGAGCATTTTTGGTTTGCTGCTTGGCTAGTGAGTGCTAACAGAAACCTCTCCCCCAATTCCTAGCCGGCCCGGGGCAGCCTCAGCCAATCCCATGGTGAAAAGTAGGGCAAGATTCACGGTAACAGTGAAAAACAAGGCGTGACAGTGCCTCACAGCAAGGAAACATATAGAAAATAAGAACAGTCTTGTTTCATCGGACCGTCGGTTCCTCAAGCTGCTGCCGTGCGTAGATCAGTCAGCTTCCAAGTGACTAAAGCAGGGCTGCGGTCTCCCGGAGCCGGAGCCTCTGGAGTTGCAGATTGCTTCTTCCTTGTGGTCAGCTTGCACGGCGTTGATGAATCAGGAAGGCACTCCCCGTTTCGAGATGCCGGCTTCACTCTGCCGTAGTGAACCCAGGGACCCGCTTCGGCTACTTTCCTGCGTAGGGGTGCACAAAATGACAATGAACGGTCCTCTCCAGAGGGGTTTTAGGGGTTGGACACTGTGCTCCTTCACCCATACAGCATCTCCTGGTTTAAAAGGGTGAGCATCTGTGGTCAGACTCACAGGTAATCGCTCCCTGACCCAGTGGTATAAGGTGGTTAGGGTAGACGCAAGGGCTCACGTCTGTTGTCTTAGGGTTAGATTGCCTGTCTCATTTAGATCCCCCCCGTCATGCCCTTGATAATGGGGGGGGTGCCCATAAGGGATTTCACAAGGAGAGAACCCCATCTGCTTCTTCAAGCTTACGAGGGATGGTGTAGGGGTACAGCAGTTAGAATCTACCCAAGGGTCGGTCAAGTGGCCCACAGTGTATATTTAATGAGAGCCTCCCTTAACCTTTCCAGGAAGGCCACCGGGGTTTTATTTTGTGTCTGTAAGAC